CTATGATGGTGATGAATATTATGATCCTAATTTATTTCTACCGCTTGCTCCGTGCAGACTTCTTCCCACGGAGCTGTGCAGGACAGAATGGGATGCATAATAACAACACCAAAAAGTTTATTAGCGATTGACAGGGGGGTTTACAGGTCTTTTATAGTTTTGTCATTTTGTTACTGACGCCGTTTCTCATGACGGCAGGTTTCCTTATCGTGTCTCTCTGCCAAAGAACATACTGCCACAAAAAGTCCAAACCCTGGGGATGTTACCACTATTAGCGTATTTAAAATGGCTTTTTGTATCATAACTTTTACAGAATAAATTGAGGTTTTGTAAAAGACCCTTAGTGGTTTACCTAGCAAGAGTCTGGTGAGAATAAACCATAAAACCAGCGTTTTCATACCAGTACAATAAATATGAAGCTATGGCAAGCAGCTGGTTAGCTTAGCCTAGCGTGGAACCAGGAGGGAAACGGTTAGCCTGGCTTTGTCCAACAAACAAACAAAAATGTACTCATGTAAATTAACAAATAGTTGCTTTTTTGTTGTTGTTTTTTAACAGTTGTTGAATTTGAGCAAAAATATTTAATTTGCCAGTATTTTCTCCTCTTTATGTATGTTATGTATGCTAGCCCAGATAGTTTCCAGATGTTAGTGGGGGTTAAATTAATTTTTCAAAAAGTGTTAAACCATTGCTTAAATGTTAAAGTTAAGCATCATGTCAGGTCTAAGATTTTGAGTACTGTATTTTTAATCAAAACTTTGATAAAAGCTGTCAAGCAGATATGAAACTTCATCTAACAGCAGTTAGCTTTGATTTGCATTAAGATTAGAAATGATGTTTTCACACTCGGAATTTCATACAGGTTAAACCAGGGGTCTCAGACTTAAATGAGGTGTTGGCCACTGCTGGCACTGTCGTCTCATCGGAGGGCCACTTTAGTATTCAAGTCGTACAAAAAAACAAACAAACCAAACTTCAAGGGCCAAGTTGCATTGTATTTCTTCATGTCAATACACGGGCCGCAAGTGATCCCCTGGGCCGCAAGTTTGAGACCCCTGGGTTAAACAAACAAATCTACTTGTCAGTAGATTATAGTTAGTTTAGCCAGTCAGTATTAGCTAAATTTATAATTATTAACTTACAGACATAAGAGTAATTGCAACCTTTTCATGAAACTCAGAGCAATCACTTGCATGATGCAGATCTTTAATATTTAAAGCAAAAGTTTGACTTCTAGGTCATTACAATGTCCTTCTTGATATCTCACAGCTTTGCAGCCTTGAAATGTTTCCAGGGACTTATTTAAGGACATATTTTTATGCATTATTTAAATTAACTTTAATTTCAAACATTATGTATGAATTTAAGTCAAACTGGGTAAAAATATTTAAAATGTTTACAGACTGCGCTCCAAAATGAGGTTTTTAAAAATATTATTTGTTCCTGTTAGATATACTTAAATCACTGTCTTGCTGTTATAGAATTCATACATTAATTCATATTTTAACAAACATTTGCTGTCTTGGTAAGACCTGATATTACTAAGACAGCAAATGATGATATTTGTTTTGGACATGCACAGCTGTAGGGACCATGGACGAGCAGTTTTATCACACCTGCTTGGGGGATGCATAGCAAGGAGATGCCCTTGCCTTTGCGGTGAAGTCCATGTGGTCATAGCCACTTGGAGGTCTATGCCACATCATGGAAACCCTCTGATGACTAAATACACTAAATGTCACTAAATTAAAAACAGATTCTTGTGTGCCCACACTTGCAGAAAGTAAAACACCAGAAGAGTGTTGTTGATTTTTTTTTCATAAGAATGTCCATTGACAAATGCGTAGATTATCAGAAAAATAAAAAAACAACAACTGGAAATTGTATTTTACAGTTGCTAACAACCTTGCTCTGTGTTGCTACATGTTTAACATTTGCATGGGTAGCAGTTTGTTTTTTTTACGTCGGGAAAATCATGATCAGTTTTCCTCTTGCTATTAGGAAATTTCTGATCTTGGACTTTGAATTTTAGCATTCAATTTTAGAATTTTAATTATATGTGTAAATAGAGTGGACCTCTCCCTTTGTCTTTATGAAGCCATTTGTGGCTGAAGAGATGCTGGACTGTCAAAAGACGGGTGCATAATACACAGTGTTGCCAAACTGAAGTGTAATACACAATAATGTGGGATAATTTATGGTACTCCTGTGGTTCTCATATTAAATCTGTTTGTATTTGAGTCAAGTGGAGCTGGATCTTCCTGCCATCTAACAGTAGCTCATTGGAAACTGGGAAAGCCTCCATGGAGAGCAGGCAGCAGCACAATCCCAGACAGATGTATCTTGTTGCTTGTTTTCAAAATAATACTTTTACAGAAAAGATCTTCTTTTAAAGACCTTGAAACAGAAGATGTGTTCTCTCTTCCTCTTTGTTCCTAAACTGTATATATATGTATAGCATTTGTACATAATGTCCTTCGGTGTGCATTCCCTTTTGATATATTTTAAAAGAAGTATCCATAGTTGTTGACCATTACTGGACTTTGAAATGCTCATTTTTAAACCATGACATGAATCATAAGTGCAGTGACATTTGAAAACCTAACAATAAGTACATTTCATTTTCTATTTCAACTGATGCCAAGAAAGTCCAAACAGACCTGGACAGAGTGTCTGAGCTGTGCTACAGTGCCTTTGCCACCGTGCCTTTTCAAAACTAAACAGTGTGAATAAGGAAGTATAGATATGCCGCAGAGTGGTGCGTAATATAGAGACAAGCATACAGAAAATCCATGCGACCCTGACCACAATAATGTAAAATATATCTTGTATTTAAGCAACAACTGTCTTTTTTTTTTTAGGAACTGTGTATTTTGGATTGTTGAGTGATACCATGAAAATAAAGATTGTATTTAAAATCACAGAGGTGATGATGTGTCATTTTGTCTTTTATTGATGAACAGTCAGTCTGAGTTTAAAGGCTTTCTCTGATTTGTGCCTCCTCGTCTCCTCTGTCCCGGCTGTGACCTGGAAAATAATCTTTGACGGATGTCTCACTTCCTAAAACATGTCTGGGTGAGACGCTTGCCAGACGACCTATAAATAACAAAGGATGCACAGGTATATTCTTTGCAGAAGCGTTTTTACCTTCATCAAAAAACACTAAAGGATTTTTGTGAGAAAACTAGGTTCTGTTTTTATGCCCTTATTGAGGCTTTGTACACAGCTTTAATACACAAACTGCCCTTGCCCCTTTTTATTTCATGTTTTCATTTAGCTTTGTGAAGCTTTCCTCCTTTCCCAATTTTTATCTGTGTGATTGTCCCACTGTGTTATGCAGTGAATTTATTTAAAAATAACACAGGTCTGAGATGATAAAACAAGCAGTAGTTGTGTCACGTGTCATATTTGATTGACATGCTGCTTGGTTGCTTGGTCTCCTCTCCTTGACTGCGGTCAAATTCAGGGTCACAGGAACCTGGAGCCTACCTCCAGCAGTCATAGGGCAAGAGGCAGGGTCCAACCAGATTGCTAGACTTTTGCAGGGCTAACACACAAAGACTGGATATATACTCACATTCACACCTAAGATCAGTTAACCTGGAATATGTGCTTTTTTGGTAGAGAACCACAGTCACCACTCCATATAGAAAAGCCTCAGCCAACCCACTTCACTTTCTTGCTGTGTGAGGACAGCACTAACCACCACACTATTGTGCCACCCTCTGTGGTGGGGCTCGGAGCTCCACTCAGTGTCTTCTTACTCTGTTTCAGGCAGGTCATGTAAAAGAGAACAACTGCTAATAATAATAATGAGTGTTTTGGTATGGCCGGAATGAATAAACATAAAATATTTGTCGCATTAAGGTTCATTGCTCATATGTGCTCCTTCACCTGGACCTGCTATAACTCCTCTATAAATAAATGGTGATCCTAAAGGGTGCACTGTAGCAGTGAACATAATTAACACAAACTGCATGAATTTACTTGTATCATTTTGTTATTGGTCATGTCGGATTATAATATTATTTTAGACCCCTAATTAAAGATTGTGAATTACTATGTAGTTTTAGTTTGGCTTTTTGTTCTTGATTTGGAGGAGGTGATAACTATTACATTTGGTTAAACTGATCTGCATTACATTAGACTGCTGATTTATTGTGAATGAATGATATTGTTTTATGATGCATTATACTGCTGAGTTATAAGAAATACTGTTTGCAGAAAATCATCGCCTTATTTGTCTGATTAGAAGAGAACAGAGCATACTGCCCCATCTCAGCAGGAGCAGATAAACAGGGAGCCAAGGTCGTAGCTTAGGCGCTGTGTGAGAGAAAGAATGTGAATGTTTAGGCTTTTATAATTAGGTGGGGGCCACTAGAGGCTATAAGAGTTTGATCAAGGCTCCACCATTTTGAGATCTGATGCTGTCTGCTGTATGGTGTCCATCTCCCACGCGTGTGTTCATTAAATCATCGTTTGACTTGACCCGGCCGGACCAGTGTTGTTATTTTGGTTTTTCCTCTTGTATCCATCCCCAATATTTGAATCCGTAACAGTCATAATCTCCGTTCATTTATTTATTAAGATTTTTAATATATGGATTCTTCCTGCGACAACATGATGAGAAGCAAATCTCACACTGCATTCACCTGTGGGTTTAACATAGCTCGAAGCGATTGAAAACGCAGTGTTAATCACGCTGTCTGGTGGTATGTTGCTGTGATTATGGGACGTGATCGGGTTATCTCATTTCCTAAAACAACAACAACAAAAAACGATCGTCCAGTGCATCCCATATCAAAGAAGATAATAAAGGAAGCATTGAAGCGCCTTTCCTTAACATTTAGAGAATTCCACCAGCTGACACACAGATACTTCCGGTTCACGTCTCCCATTTTTAGAAAGCATCCAAAGCACATTTGACTATTGGCTGATGTGTCTCTTCCTCGGTTCCTCCGCTTGCATCTCCCGGTGGGCGGGACTAACACAGGAGGAAAGGAAGCGAGGGTGCACTCTGAATGAGGAAGGGGGTGAGGCTCAAATATGATACACATTTAACAAACACATTGTTCGGTATTACAGTGCCGGTCTGGGCTTTTCCAGGTGAAGCTTACATGTTGTGGGATACTTGGTGGTTTCTAGTGTTGTAGCATGTGTGTACGTGGTTGTCTAGGTGACCTGTCAAGGGGTGTGGCCGGCACAGAATCACATAGAAATATGTCAAATAATTGTTTTGTGACCTCCAGAAGATTTTTCTTTGTGTAGGATGTTCAGCTGACCCGTGCTGTTGCTCATTATGGATTAGGGAAACGGAGTATGACAGGATAGAAGCAGATGTTACACGAGCTATAGGCTGATTTCTAACTTCCAGAAATAATAAAGCTATAAAAGGTACAATTCGGTGAATGAATCTAATCAGTGTCATCGTTTAAAAAATAAATCAATGTCTGCTTCCCTTTATGCGACCTAACGTTGACCTAAACACCACAGCCAGTCCACAGGTTTCTCCACAGTAATGCATTTTCATCTAACCTTTAAATAACAAAAAAAAGTTTTGAATATCTTATACAAAGATATAGATATAGATATAGATAGATCAAGATATAGATCCAATCTCTGATTTGAATGAATGAATCAAGATATTATATTCCAGTTTATCAAATTTCACTTGCTGAACAATGCTTACCTCAGAAAAATATTATCTTGTCTTCCTCTCCCGGCTTTGTTTCTCCATTCTGAGAGGGGAACACATTAATGCTTTTAGCACACAGCACATAGTTTGTGTGCCAACCTGCACAGAATCAATTTTTGTGTTTACTGATATGTGTTGAACTGTTTGCAAACATTACATGAAACCAAAAAGTAAAACAAAAGAAAAACATGTTGAGCTCTGCAACTGGAGCTTTATTTACATGTGAACTATGAACATCATAGGGATGAGAAGAATAAAGGGATGTGTTGATAGTGTAAGCGAGCAATGGGATGTCTTTTTTTTTTTTTATTACTGAGCAAACATATCATTGCTGTTGCTGGAAATAATGCATGGCTCATTAAAATGAACCCATTTGACAGTAACTAACCTGCCTGTAAAAGTCATCTGTTTACTAACTGAAAGTTTGCTGACATTTTAAAAAAGGATTTCTGGTATGTAAACTGTTGTAAAACTATTGTTAGCTTAGAATCTGTCAAACATAAATCTTATGAATGATATGAAACGATTTTGTGGCAGGAAGATCATTTCTATCACAAGCTGGAATTGCAATTAATGCAATTAATTTTTGGCTAGGGGACTATTACATTATCCTTAATTTATCCAGGTAAAAAGTATGATTGAGATTTAAAAAAAAATTCAAGAAAGATATAGCCAAGAGGAAAGTAGAAAAAAAATGACATAAAAGTTATGTAAGTATATTTCTAGAGATCAAAAAAGACTGGATTGAATATAGAAAACAGAGTAAGTACAATGATGGAGAATCATAAGGATACTACTTATGATATTAGGCGTTTGTTTATTTTCTGTATAACCTTTCCAGACAAATGCAGCCTATTTGCCAATATCAACAAGGATATTAGACACACAAAAATACATAAAAACATCAGCAATAACTTTTTCATCCCTGCCTCATATTTTAATAAGACACGTCGCTGCATCGTAAAGACAAATCTAGTATGTACAAGTTTGTGTATGTATGTAGGCCTGCACTGCTATATGTGACATAATATAATAACGCAAGCAAGTGATTTATGTCTGTTAGAAATGTAACTACTATTTATTGCGCTTACAACTAGACAGATATTCGAAAGAGGGTTATGGCGCCCTCTGTAGCAGAAGAGTCAGTATTGAAGGACAGGAAGTTATAGTTTTTTTTCCTTTGTGGGGAAAAAACTAAGACATTAAAAGTAAGCAATACTCGAGTTACGTGGAATTAGGTGAAAGTGGGTGGTATTATAAAATGGAAATAGAAGATATATACAGTAGTTTTTGTTTTTGGGCTGTTGTTGTGCATGCAGAAGGATTTCCCGCATCGTGACCTTTAAGCATGGTTTCTATTATAGTAAAAAAAAAAAAAGCACATAAGTGTAACAAGGAAAAACAAACAAGCAAAGTTAACAATGTAAGTGACAGAGCCTCTTATATCCGATCATTCCTCTTTCCTCCAGCAGGGGGGCGAGCAGGGAAAAATGTGGGAGGAAAAACTAAATCCAGGGACCTGAGTCAGCAGCTGCAGCGGTGCCATTCTGCCGATCCCCACAACTTCCGCTCATCCGTTTCATCTTCACACACATTCATAGTTAACAATGGAGCTGAATTGATTTACAGTGAAGAGCGTCTTTGTTAGAGGACGAATACAAGCAGAACAGAGGAGGAAAGAGGACCGAGCGGACCATCCGGAGACTCTGAGGTATCCCGTAACATCTCCAACCCGCTGCTGCTTTTCAGGAGTTAACTCTGAGTAACTCCTGTGGTTTTTCTGTTTCGGGGGTAACTTCAGCGCTCCTCCTTCAACTTGATGCTCAGTCTTCAGGTTTCCGCTATATGTTAGACTATATAAAAAATAGCGTTCTTCCTCTTTTCGTGAAGCTCTGATGAACAATAGGATTAAATGTGATCCACGCAGTGAGGGGATCAGGGCTGATCACAGTTGTCTGGTTTTACAAACTGTTGCTGTTGTCTACCTGGTCGCGTCTATTTCTAGGAAAATAACAAGAGGCTGGCTAATTGGGGTACTGTCTATGTCCTGGTAGCCTGGGAAACGAAAACAAACAAACCTGAAAGAAGTTAGAGGAAAAACTGCGTGAGCTGATGTATCCCGCATTCAGAAAGCTACGGCTAATTTAGCACTTAAGTGTTGTTTTTATTACCTTCTTATCCGAACTTCGGTGTAGACGTGGTCAACAGACGATAATTTGGGGATTTCTAATAATAATCAGTATAATAGTTTTAGTTAACTACAGTTTGTGCTAAAGACTCGAGCCACCTTTGATTTTCTTTATATTTTTCTTCCAAGGTGACTTTTGTTCTTTTTAAGTGGTCTTTCTTAAGCTTTTTCACCCATTTTCAGTCCAGTCCTTTAATTTCACAGGAATGTATTTGTGTTTAAGTCACTCTACACTGACCTGTGAATCATTCAAGCACAAAAAGGCACCTAAATCGAGGGATGAACGAGTGTTGAGTGTACACATAACAGAAACCTTTTTAGCCCTTTGTTATTAGGATTATTTGTTGTCACTTTGTTGGCTGAATCTATGAAAGTTATCAAAAATAACACAGCTTGACAGACAGAAAATAGCGGCCTTGCACCAACCAGGTGACTATTAGCTGAAAAGTTGCATATCTCAGGATGGTGTGCCGTGTGTGCTTAAGAAAATCTACGTAGAGCACAACAGAAGTAGAAGTAAGATATTTACGGAAGATGAACCGAATCTGAAAGTCATCACCTTTAAAAATAAAAAATATCAATACCTGAGAGAGATCTGTGGTTCACTAAAGAAATAGTCTCAGTGGAAATGTGGCTGTCAAAAAGAACCTAACTGAAAATCAGTGGCAAGCAGCATTATGGAGTAGTGAATCTAAATTTGATGGTTAAAACCATCATTGGTATGTACAGAGGAGGTCAGGAGGGGAGGTACAACACATCTGTACAACACGGTGGAAGGTGCTGTCATGGTTTGGGTCTGCATTTCAGCCAGTGGTGTTGGCGATCATATTAAAGCTGATGGAAATACTAACACAGCAACAGAGATTCATCCACAATGTAGTAACATCTTGAAACGCACAATGGAACACTATGGATCATGGCTTCACCTCTCGAGAGCCTGGATCTCCACATTACTGAAGTAGTGTGGGTTCATGTTGACAAAAGAACAGAGTGAAAGGCAGCCAGCACCCAAAGAAAAGCCTTGAATGCTTCAAGAAGCCTAGAGAACTATCTCTAAAGACTACTTAAAGCATTGACAAGAAAACTTCCCTAAGAGAGTTCAGATTGTTGAAAAATAAAGTCGCTTATGCCAAATATTGACTTTAATGCTTGTTAGAATTTGTGTATTTTTGCCTTGTATACTGTATTACCATGTCTGTTTTACCTGTTTCTATTTTATCTAACAAAATATAAAGCAATAAGGTGTGGCTCAAGCCTTTTACACAGTGCTGCATCTAACAGAGTTGCATTTGTAATGTTAAGTACCCAGAGAATAGCTGACCTCGGTCAACTAAACTTGTTTCTGTCTTGGTAGATTTTTAGTTTATCTTTAAAGCCACCCAAGTTAAACAGCAGACTGTTTACACCACTCCCTCTGTCTTTCTGTCCAGCTGCTGTTTTCCTTGAGGCCTCATGTCCATCCGCATTTCAGCCATGAGCGTCCTTCCTCCTGTTCGACGGGACCGAGTCATCGCTCAGCTCCCTCAGGTAAAATCAGTGACCCCAGTTGCCTGCTTATCTTTCTAGAACAGTTCACATCTTCACGATCCCGCCCTCCTCTCTTCAGTGTTTCCGAAAAGAGGCGGCCATCCACACTAAAAATGATTTCAACAATAAAGTAAAGACTGCGTGTCAGGAGCAGCGGACCGGCACTGTGGGGTGAGTGCCGCAGTGTGAAGCCGCTGTATGCGATCTGCTTTATGTGGCTCTTATTTACTTGCTGCTGCTTCTCTTATTCTTCTCAGCAGATTTAAAATATCCAAGGTCATCGTGGTGGGGGATCTGGCTGTGGGGAAAACCTGCCTGATTAATAGGTAAACTAAGACACACTCGCTTCATATGTGACTGCAAGGTGAGAGGGAATTTGGGGAAATGAATAACTCAGAGTTCAAGGAAGCACAACACTTAACCTGTGTTACAGTTGCTTTAGGTTTCACAGTAATCAAAAAAGTATGAAGCAGTTGTTAAAAGCATGAAAAAAAGTTAGAAAACATAAAAATGGGGCATCTTTTTCCAGCCCTGATATGCTTTACTGTACTTATGCTTTGTAATTGCTGTTATGGGTGTTTTTGTTGCTGCGTTTGTGAACACAACACCAAAAATAATGCCTGTTAGGAATGTGTTTGCTAGCTTTGGCGTCACCAGATGATAATCTTTTGTGACTGATGGTTTGTGGTCCTGTCACTTCTGCGCATGAGGAAAACACAAGTTTTGGACCACTTAGAGAGCCTACATCTACCACATGTATGGAAGTACACAGTTTGAGACTGTAACGTTTTAAATTACAGTACAACCGTGTCACGTTTTGTCACTTGTAGTTTATTTTTCTCCGGTCCTGTAATAAGTTCCTTTATGCGTCTGCCATGACATTAGATACTTTGTTTTATTAACAAATGGGGATCCAGGCCCACCCAGTAAACTCAATGTGCCCCCACAACTTTGGTCAGACTTTATAAAGGACCCCTCATGTCTCTTTGAAACTAAAAACAGGCCATTTATCAGCGTGTGCAGCTAGTTTCGAAGCATGACCCTACTGAAAATTGCAAAACTCCTTTGCCTCAGCAATCTAACACAGATCTTTTTGCACTTTGTGCTAAATTTCTCTGTGCATGTATGGGTGTAAATAAGCATGGCAATTTTCTGTGTTTTTTCTTGAATGCCCCCCTGTCAGAGTTGGTCACCTGTCCAAATCATGTGGTCTGCTGCCGACCGTAAGTGCATATATTTGCAGTAATTTTTTTTTTTAAGGTTTTGCAAGGATACCTTTGACAAGAACTACAAAGCAACAATCGGTGTTGACTTTGAGATGGAGCGCTTCGAGGTGCTGGGTGTTCCTTTCAGCCTGCAGCTGTAAGTCTGATCCGGAAAATGTAACGCATTAAAACAAAAAAGTCACTCTGATTATGCTCGTCAGCCTCTCTCTCTGTGTGTTAAAGGTGGGACACCGCAGGCCAAGAGAGGTTCAAGTGCATTGCTTCTACATACTACAGAGGAGCCCAGGGTAAGTTTCCATCAGTTTCTCCATTTAAAACACTGTTTACAAGGAATAAAATATCAGTCGCTTTCCCAGCTGTATCCAGCTGCTAACGCAGTAAAATGATCTCTTCTTCTCTTCCAGTTGTGATAATTGTGTTTGATGTAAATGATATTGCCTCTCTGGGCCATGCAAGGTAAATATGTAATATAAGAATAATATTTGTGTGCCTTTATCTCATTGTTGTCCCAGCTGGTGGATTTAATGCAGTCTTTTCCCATCTAAAGGCAGTGGCTCGAAGACGCTTTGAAAGAGAACGACCCCACCGCTGTTCAGCTGTTCCTCGTGGGCACCAAGAAGGACCTCAGCGTATGTCTTTTACTGTTTAAAGTGGACGTGCCTGCGGGCATTTCTGTTGTATATACTGGAGTCAAATGTGAATTGCTTGGATAGGTGCCAGGAGCACAAAGCGTATCCAAGCTCGAACCTCAGGAATGTTTCTCCTCCTTTACTACACCCTAAAGTGGTTGTGACCGAGGTGGAAATCACATACAGGAACGTTTCTAAGACATTATGTATTTAAACAGCCGTACTTAAGCTAGCTCGGTTGCTAGGAAGACATCGTTTTTATGAGTTAGTCAGTAACATGACTGGATATGAAACATAAATGCTTATTTACACAATAAAATAAACAGTTGGGTTTGTTTTCTTATTGCTAATGTGTTGTATGTTCTGGTTTGTCTCACAGTCACCTGCTCAGTATTCCCAGATCGAACAAGATGCCGTCAAACTAGCAAACGAGATACAAGCTGAGTATTGGGCGGTTTCATCGCTGACAGGTGAGCGTTTGGATTTTAATACAAGTAAAGCAGTTGCCTCCAAAAGGTGTTAGAGATGAAAAATATTTCTATAGCTTCAGCCAGAATAGCTTTTTGTTTACACTGTTCCTCAGGGAAAGACGCTGCAGTCGATTGTTCACATGAAAATATTTTGGTAACAAAATATTGGTAACTCTGTTCAGTTCCAGAGTTACCAAATTTGCACCTAAGTCTGTATTACACTGCTTGAATAACAGCTACTGTAATCTAGAAAGATCAGAAAATGTGTTTGTAGGCTGTTTATTACCAGAAAATATTCAGAGAGAGAACAAAACCTTTAGCAGTGGCCAAATCGAATGCACTGGAAAGCTCAGCTTCACTAGAAGGCCTGAAAATCCACAGAAGACAACTAAAGTAGATGCTTGCAAACTTTGTCCTTGTTTATGAAAAACAACTTGACAGCATCTAACCAGGTCAAGAACACTCGAGGAGTGTGGGTTTATTTCAAGATGGAACCCACTGATTACTCTCAAGAACAAGAAGTCCAGATTAGATTTAGATTAGATTGCCAGAAAACATCCAAAACAGCCTGCAGAGCTCTGAAAAATAATCTTCAGACAGCTGAAATCAAGATAAGCTTGTACCAGAATGCTGGTAAGAGACAGGTATGGAGAAACAGCTCATGATTTGAAGTGTGCCACTTCATCCATCAGACACAGTAGAGGCAGTGTTATGGCATTGGCACGTATGATGATGTGGCTGCTGATAGAAGTTGCAGGATGAATTCTGAAGTGTACAGGGCTTTACTCTGTGCTCAGATTCACCCAAACACCCCACAGTGCAATTGGATAATGAGCCAAAGCATACTGCAGAAGCAAACCATGAGTTTCTGAGTGGTATGTCCTTCAGTACCAGGAGTCCATCGCCCGATCTGAAGGCAGAGACCCTGAAACGAGCACCAACAGAGGGCGGCTGCAGTAAAAGCCTGGAAGAATGAGATCTATGCTTTCAGTCATAGACTGCAAAGGAAAAACAATCCCTGTATTTAAAGTCATGTTGGTTTGTCAGGTAGCTTTTGATTCTCTGAAAACAAGCAGCTTTGTATAGGTTCACTGTCATTCATGGACAGTTGATGCATAGTTTTTAAAACCACCTAAACAAAAGCTAAAGGTCTGCATTTGACTGTCATTTTGATTGTTTGATTTAAATCCCATGATGCACAGAGACAAAACTACAGAAAAAAATAAAAAGATTTACTTGTCCAAAGCCTATTGAGCTAGCTTTAGTTTCTTTATAGACCTCCAGTGCTTCTCCTTAAGTGTGTTTAAATATAAAGTCCCCCAGCAGTAGTTTTCACACAGGCCCTGACAGATGCTCTCTGTGTATCTGCTGCAGGGGAAAACGTGAGAGAGTTTTTCTTTCGGGTTGCATCATTAGCGTTTGAGACCAACGTTCTTGCTGAGCTGGAGAAAAGCGGATCGAGGCAAATCGGAGATGTTGTCAGTGAGTATCCAGACAATCCCAAATCACAAAAGTAGTTGTTACACGTTTTAAAACCAAGCTTTGCTTTCAGGGATTAACAGCAATTCTAACAATCTGTACGCTGCATCGAAGAAGAAACAGTCCAACTGCTGTCAGTAAGGATGGAAGCGAGAGGTTAAAATCGATGGTACGGACTGAAAGCGAGGAGTTTTCTGAGTGGAAAATGACCACGGCTGTCGTCCAGCTCAGCGGGAAGGATTTCTGTGGTCGGGGAGGGAGGAGGGATTCAGATGTTTCCCTTCCTGACATGTTTTAATTTCAGTTTTTCCTGGCCTAGAAAGCTTTTTCCTCCACGGGATGTGTGCGCAGATTCTTGTGGAGTGACACAGGAATTACACACAAAATGTTCCCGTCTTGCCAGAAAATGCCAGAGTCTCGTTTCACTTAGGGCTTCAATTCAATCTTAAATCTTGTTGCTGCTGTAGTTTATTTTAACAGTCATATTCTGCTTGTGTTGAATTTGGTTTTGTTTTTTTTGGCTCTTTTCTTTTTTTTTCTTTTTTCATTGCATTTAAGTGACCAGTTATATTTGTTAGAGGCTAAAAAGAAAATTGTTCTTGTTTTTATATCTTGTTCATCTTCTCCGTTTATCCCTTGCACGCTGAGGTCCCAGACCAAAGACTGGGAGCCATATTTGTAATGAAGATACTTGAAAGGTATATTTTTTCTGTTTACAATCAAATTTATTAGACTTTAATGGTCAGTATCAAAACTGATGTGGTTTTCATATTTTTCATTTTCCCGTGGTGAGCTTTACATGTTGTTAGGACATTAAAAAATAGAATAGAAATTGTTTCAGTTATTTAAAATAGAACTAAATCTAAAAAAAAAGCCAGCTATTCTATGAGTTCACTGTATTTCTTAAATATATCTATACGTGTATTATAAAATTTCTGTGCTTTGCCTTCTTTGCTAAACCTTTAAGGAATCACGTTAACTTGTTCAGTTGTTGAAGCTTTTGAAGCCGTCGAGGTATTTTCCATCAATTTGGCTCTGCAGCTCTTCGGGTATGCAGTGAGAGAATTTGTAGTTTTCCTTAATCCACCTTCCTCCTTCGGTGTTCTCGATGGCCACAGCTGCTACGCCTGCAAAGTGAGATGTTTACAATCAAGCGTTGGGAGTCATTCGGTTATTATATATTACACTACTTTGCAAAAGTCTTGAACAACCCCTTGCTTCTTTATGTTTTGCTTCCAAGCGCACTGACCTTTGTTTTTAAACCAGTCAGTAGTTTCTGGAAGTCTTTCAAAGTTTTTCTTTGGCTGTTTCCCCCCCCATTCTCAGTCCAGCCATTGTACCTGACCATTTTCAGAGGAATGTCTATGCATTTGTTATGTCACTTAAACTTGGCCTATGAATAATTCTAGGGTAAAAGGGGATAAACCAGTGTTTTGTCTAAACACATCAGAAAAGCAGCCTGCCACAAAAATAGTGATTTATTTCTATTTCTTTAGTGGAATCTGCCAAACATAACATTTAAACAGGCTTAAAAAAAGTATTTTTGCACCAACACGATGATTGCCAAAGAGCTATTTGCTGAAAAGCTAGCATATCTGGGAAAAGTGTGTCCTTTGACCAAACTGGAAAAGTAGGGCACAAAAGAAAAAGTGGTTGATTTAAAACCGTTTTAAAGTAGATAAGCAGTATCCGAAAGTGTCCTCAAGTCCTATGTCCTTAAGAAACAAACAAATCCAACAAAGATCTGACGCAGGACTTGAGATGCATCTGGCCCTTCAGATACATCTCCTGTTTACTGAAGCCTCATCAGAAATGGTCTCAGTGGAAGAAACGATTCTTGAGGATGGGAAATGGAGTGAAAAGGCTGAAGAATGCCAAATTATACAAGGATTGGACTGAAAATCAGTGGCTAATGCCCTGTGGAAGATGGATCTGGCTTCATTTTTCTTCTTCTTTTTTTTTTGACAAAACAGCGCAGTAAAAGCATTCCTAGTTAGAAAAACACAGTTATGTTTGATTATTTCCATAATGTGAGGTCGTATTGACAGAGAACAGAGCAAAAGGCAGCCAACATCCACAGAAGAACTTAAATGTTCATCAAAAATCCTAGAAAACTATTCCTGAAGACTACTTTAAGGATTTAGAAGAAACTCAGTTTTTGCCTTATATCCTTGATTTCCACATTCCAATGAATTTTTGCATCTTTTTTTACGTTTTCCTAACAAAATATAAAGAAGGGTAATTCAAGACTTTTGCACAGTAACTGTTAACTTATTGACTGACACACCTACAACTGTGGCTCCCAGTTTCTCTACCAGCTGAATGGCAGCCTTCATTGTGCCTCCAGTCTCTATCCACTGGTCCACTAACAACACCCTCGTACCTGCGGCGGGGACACACATGTCGACTGTTAATGTCTCCTTCAGTCTTTCTTCTTTTTGTTTACGAGGACAAGTATTAAAAGAAAATGGTACATCTTGTGTTTATGAAAGAAACAAAAACAAATGCTGACAATAAACAGTTATATTTTAATGCATAGGTTTCCCATTAATGTTGTTCTAGGGGCTTCTAGTATTTTGTTTTCAAATCTCAGATTAAGAGAATACTCATTTCCCTAAGGTTGTGGATCTCCATTCACCTGTTTATACACAGTCACACCAGACAGTGTTTGTGCTGGAGAGGATGTAGAAAGTAGAAATTGTAGGAATTTGTGAGACTTGATTCTTCTTTAAATGTACGTATTGCAAATTGATGTTTAAAAATGAATCCAGGCTGTCAACAGAATCTGAAGAACCAACATCTGTGGTTTCATGTCCTAAACTGGCCTTCGCATGTTATGTAATACCAGATTGTACCAGGAGATGGTGCAGTGACCCAGGCAGGACCTTCAGAAGACATTCCTCTACAGGAAATAAAGCATCTTAGTCAGGTGTTGAGCTACTTGAACAGCTTCAGTGTTTCTTGGCAGTTTTAATGAAGTTTTTCCCTCATTCGGTGTTATGATGAATTCTGACACATTATCCAGAATCTTCCGTCTGTAATATGTGAAGGCCATAGCATGTGGCTCACATCGTTTTTAGCTGTTCAATGATCTGTCATTGTCATTGTGTCATCCTGCCAGACATCATTCCTGTCAGGAAATGTTTAATCATTGGATGATTTAGGGTAGGGGTGGAGAACTCCAAGCCTCCTGCAGGTTTGAGATGTGTCCATGATCCAACACTGCTGATTGAAATGGCAAAATTACCTCTTCAGCATGTCTTGAAGTTCTCCAGAAGCCTGGTAATGAACTAATCATTTCATTCAGGTGTGTTGACCCAGGGTGAGATCCTTTACACCAGTTTTATAGTTTTCTGCATTCATCTTTGTTATGACAGCTGGTATTTGTTCAATATCAGTTGCTTCAGCTGACAGCAGATGGTGCTGTGCTAGAAGAAAGACAGGGGAGTTTGGAGAAACCTGCAGGTTATGTGTTGGTCAGAGTTCGTTGAGTCAGTTAGTCAGACTCAAGCTGAGCAGCTGAATTAAATATTTTTGTACTTTTCTAAGATTTAGGCTTAAAAGTTCCAGGTCAGAGTTTTGGCAAATTTAGTTATTTTCAATAGAAATGGTCTCACCTAAAAGACTGGGCTTTGACAACATAAATGATTTAGTCATTTATTTAAAAATGTAAGAGCTGAAATCAGTCATTTATCAACCTTCTCATCCACAAACTGTCCAAACATCTTTCTCAGTAAATTATATAACGGGGTTTAAGGGTAAAAAGAAATACTAACCTGGTCTTAGCACATCCAGTCTTACTTCCACAGTCTTTTCCCTGCCTGTGTAGTCGGTGTAGTTTTGGCCTTGGGTGGCGACACACAGGTGACCTGCTTTGCGAAGAGCCAGGAAACCTTTTCCAAGAGTGGTGGCAACAGAAGCGCCTGAAAAGACAACATCAGTAACGTTCATTCACACCGACAGAGCGAGAAAAGAAGCTTCACATTGCCATGCCATGTGTGAGAGGCAGAGTTTTTCTAAATTTAGTATCTTTGCCTGAAGGGTCAGGTTCCCCCACCTGCGTAATGTATACAGTGACAACGTCTTAAAATAAAAAAAAATTACTCTTGAGTTTAGTTTCTCTGAACTCTCCCTGTATTTTACCTCTAAACGTGAAGTTCTTTGCTTTCTTACCAAGAATGAATCCCATTGCATCTATGCCAGCAACCAAGTCAATGTTGTCACTTTGGAAAGGACTGAGAAGGTCTTTGGTACAGTCTGCAAGAGCCTGGATCGAGTGCAAAGAGGGAAAAAGCACAAAATGCAGAATGTGCACATGATAAGAGACAGACTGCATGTGTATTTGTGCAGTTAGAGGTGGGGTTTGTCGTGCTCAGTGAATAGGGGAACAGCAGAAAAAGTTTTAGCAACATTTCTTTTCTCTCGGCATACCTGGGAGTTGCAGTAAAGTCTGGACGGGTCCAGCCAGGCGAACTCTGGACCTTTTGTGTTTGGAGCCATTAAAGAAAGGTACCATCCTTTATGCCGGTCGCCTGGAACTGCAAACACATCCATTTGGAGAACAGCTCTTGACTGCACTGACAAGAGGCACAAACGGGTGAACGGACTGAACTGTGAATGAGAGTCTTCTGTATCAGGTTCCAGGGGGGTGAATAATGGGTGGGAGCTGGCTGTTAATTATACTGAACTAAGTTAGTTTCTCTCTGCAGTTTGCAGATTCATTAAACAGTCTTAGCCTCATCAAACAAAACCTTATATGAGGTATATGTCACAAAAGAAACACTTTTCTTTTATTTTTCCTCTTTCTTTGCATTTTCTTTTAGTACTTTGGGACCATTAAAGACTCACACTAGTGTTTAGCCTGCTTGAGTTAGGTTACTTTTATTTGATTTTTGTACTGTGGTTAAATGAAGTCAAATCAAACCTAAAAATAAGAACAACAAAACATTTAAGATGACGTTGTATCAGTGTCTTTGAGGATGTGAACAGAAAGGTGCAGTCCTTTAACAGATCATCTACCTGCACTTCCAACCATAAATGCATAATTTAAAACAAACTATTTTTTAATGAGTCAGTCTGAACTTTGCATGTGACGAAACAAAGAGCAATTGTCACCGTTTTGTTTTTTGAATATGTTCAGTCTCTGCACTAAACACTCCTGTCACCTGACCATAACTGAATACACATCCTATAAAAATCCCTCCCTCATGAATGCCTCAGGTTGTTATTGTAAATACCGCTCAGAGCTGATGTCTTTAGAGGAATCAGTGTCTGAATAAGCTCAGGTTGAGATCACGCTCACTGCAGGAGAAACACGACCCTGGATCTCGCTGTATTCACAGGATATTTCCAGTTTTCAGACTGGGAAGCTTCTTACTGTTATTAAATAAACGCATATCTGAAATTTCAAGTTCAAGCTGAGCTCAAGAATGAGCGATGAACTGTCTTTCAGCAGTAACTCCACTTTCCCACGGTCTGGTTTGTGTGCGTCTTGAAGCACATGGCTGTGTAGTAAATGTTGCTCTGCAATGATCACATGCTTCATTTCTGTCACCATGAATGTGTTCAGATATAAAGGTGTTATGAAGGAAGGCAGGCTCAGGGTTTAAGTAGTCACTATCATGGGCTCATCCGATTAGAATGAGAATAAGCAGTCGTCAGTCATTCACAGGGTTCTCCTTTTATTCTCAAAATCAAAAACCCAAACAGAACCTCACCTCTGCTGGCGCTCCGTGTGGGAGTGAAGAAAGAGTGAGCCAAAAGTGAATGCGGTCCTTATATAATGTGTGACAGGTGAGTGCAATTAAGGACAAGCACCACACCCAATCAAAGGTGAGAGAACTAAACAAGGTGCATCTGGTGAAGTGCGATCGTGGCTCAAGAGTTGGGCGTTCGTCTTGTAATCGGAAGGTTGCCGGTTCGAGCCCCTGGCTCCGACAGTCTCGGTCGTTGTGTCTTTAGGCAAGATACTTCACCTGTTGCCTACTGGTGGTGGTCAGAGGGCCAGGTGGCGCCAGTGTCCGGCAGCCTCGCCTCTGTCAGTGCGCCCCAGGGCGCCTGTGGCTACACTGTAGCTTGCCATCAGTGTGTGAATGTGTGTGTGAATGGGTGGATGATTGTGTATAGTGTAAAGCGCTTTGGGGTCTTATAGGACCAAGTAAAGCGCTATACAAATACAGACCATTTACCAAGTGAGTGGGTGTGCTGGGATGTGCTAAAAGGTGGGTCTTTACAACAGCCGGTCCCATATTTCTAGTGAGAAATATATTGATATGATCAGAACCAGATCTCACACTGAACTCTGTCGTAATGATCATGGATTTATTCATTTAGCTCCATGTCAGTGCTAAATGCTCTGCTTACTGTATTTTCACCAGCTACTATGACTTTCTCTCTGTCTGCCATTTGGTGCTGGACAGGTAGAATACATTGATTTTAGCGTCTGAAGGCTGTCTGCTAATGCACCTGAATAAATTTCATTTGCTTTCAAGGTCAATGGTAATTTAATGATGCAATTCAGCCATCCAGTACCTGCTGGCTGTCTTGCCAAGATTTACTGTTAGGATAAGGAAGGAAAAAAATTTTTAAGGGGTAAATGGTAAATGGCCTGTATTTGTATAGCGCTTTTACTAGTCCCCCCTAGGGACCCCAAAGCACCTTACACACCCAGTCATCCACCCATTCGCACACACATTCA